TCTGTCTGTCTGTCTGTCTGTCTGTCTGTCTGTCTGTCTGTCTGTCTCTATTACTCTATATCTTCTATCTTCTTTCTTCTATCTATATATCTGTCTTCTATCTTCTATCTTCTTTATTATTCATTATTATATTTTATCCATCCTCCTCATCCATCCATCCTCCATATATCTTCCATGCCCTCTATCTCTATCTATATATATTGATCAATTGATCGATATATAGATTATATATATATAGGTATATATAATTTTTAAAAGTATGTTCCAGCATAACTGGAACACCTCAAGCAATTTCAACCAAACTTGGTACACAGATGACTTTCCCACTGGACACAAATACTGTGGGGGTAAGACATGCCTAACGCCCCTCGGGTGGGTGGATGTGCCTTAAAATGGCTTCTGCCAAGTTAATGGCTTCACAGGGCTCCCTCTTGTGGAGGAATAGAAGAATTGTGCGACAGACAGTACAACAGCATGAGTCCTGACTACAGGATTGGGATAACACTGGGTTATCAGCTAGTATATTACAAAAACAAGTACAATTCTGAAATGGGCAATCCAGAGGAGCTGGTTCCCAGGGCCCAGGCCAGAAGTCACCACTCCATTTCCTCAGAATAAAAGTTTGAAGCTCAGTTTTGAGATAAACAAGGTCCTTTTTCTGGAGAATAATGGGAACTCAGTTGCAAAGATGTTGGTCTTGAAAGGCTGCAGCCACAGGAACAGATGTGTGGGTAGATTTTGTGAGAAGTAAGAAGAACCAGTTTGGTGCAGTGGTAAAGGCTGCAAGTTACAGACAGGGAGGTGCTCAGTTGCAATCTTGCCATAGGCATGAAACCACCTGGGCATCCCGGGCCAGTCCCTCTCTCAGCCTATGAAGCAGGAAATGGGGGGAGATCACTTGGAAAATCTTTGTCAAGGAAACTGCAGAGAAACCAGTCCAGGTAGTTGCCAGGTGTGAAATCTATTTTGAAGGTGCCTAAAACAAACATTGGGTGTAGGAAATATAGGGGATCAAAACTGCAAAGAAGCTCCAGTTCAGGGTCATGTCAGGCATGAAGGTAACTTCCAGGAGCTGTAGACTACTGAGATGCCAATTGAGAGGGAAAAATATGTCTGTGAACGGAGATAGGGGGTAGGGGAGATTAAAATGAACCTCTTTCTTGGCCCAGGATGCTACCCAGTGCAGGAAGTTAGCACCCATCCCTCTCCTAGAAGAATGAAAAATTCTAGGAAATATTAAAAGGGCAGAATATTATACCTTCCTGGATGAGAAAAGGAGAAACATGCTCTTGGAAAACACCCCCCAACTTTGTTAATAGCCCCAGAAAGACTGGTCCATCCTATCTACAAGACAAAACGCCTTCAGCTCCAGGGTGATAGGATTAGCCCCTCACTCAAGATCCAAAGCCATTAAGCCATAATAGGAATTGCCCAACACTCTTTCACAACACAATCCTCTTCATTACTTCATCACCCAGCAAGATTCAACCAAGCCTGGGACACAGATAGCCTACAAGGTTAGCTTGGCACCTCTTCCCGTAACCCCCTGGGAGGCTGGCAACCAATAGGATATATTTCTTGCAAGGCCCAAGAGAGGATATAAATATGTTGAGGCCGTACTTGCGGATCAGTCCGTGCCGGTTGCAGCACACGCGGCAGGATCGCGATCCCTGGCCGAACTTCCTGGGGTGGCTCCAGTAGAGCTGCTGGTGTCCCATGGCGGCGGTCGCGTGTCTGGGCCGCCGAAAGGGCAGAAAAAAAAACAAAAAAACCTCTCCACTCTATGTGGTCATCTACCCAGAATCACACCTGCTTGGTGGTTCTGCTTCACCATTAAACTATCCTTCCAAACAGCAACCTTGTTTCCAGTGTCTTTCTTCCCACCTGGAACTGAATCCAGATGGACATTTTCTCCAACGCTAGGAAGTGCTTAATATGCCACCTTGACTTTCCAAAAGAAAAAGAAAAATCAAGACAACATGTACAATATGCTGAGGTTGTTTTCATTCAGATTCTATTAAGTGTTGTACCTTATGATTCTTGACCCTTGACAAATGTATCTTTTCTTTTATATACACTGAGAGCATTTGCACCAAAATAAATTCCTTGTGTGTCCAATCACACTTGGCCAATAAAGAATTCTATTCTATGTCTATTGTCTATGCAACAGAGATTAGAGCCAACATCTGAAGTGGGATCTTCTGACTCTAGTTGGGCCAACATCTCCATCGCATTCCCCCCCGCCACCCCAAAAAAAAGACAACTAATGTTTCCCTTGATTTTTTTTGTTCTTGTTTCTGTTGAAGTAGAATCGTCGCGCAACCTTGCAAACGAGGTTGTAATTCGGCCTTATGTCGCTAGATGGCGCGTGCTCTATTAAATGCGTAAACACCCGGCGGCTAGAAAGCGGGTCAATACAGTAGAGCGGCATCGATGGTGGCTGAGTACCCGCATCCAACGGGAGGGGGAGAGACGGAGCCGAAAGATGTTGAAACAATAGAGTCCTGGATTTCTAGAGAGGATGTGGAAGAGAGGAAAAGAACAGAGGAATCTCCTCTTCCGGCTGACCTATCGGAGGACGGAGGCGTGCAGGGTGCCTCTCTTGCTCTTCCCAGGACTTTAGCTGCTGGAAGGTGAGTTGAGGGCAGGTCGGAGGAGAAGCCGGGTGCAAGTAGGGCTGTTTGGTTTCCTCCACGATGCAGAAGCAGAGAAGAAACCAGGTTGCAACATGTCAGGTGCTGCTGCTTGTTCCTTCCCTCCTCAAAATTTGTTCCAGTGGTGCTTGTCGTTATGAAAGTGCTGCTTGCAGTTTTCTGCTAGTTGGGAGATTTAAAAGGTCGACTTCAGTTTAGGATTGATGCTTTGTGATTTTTATGGGCTTGTTGTTTTCTTGGGAACTGGGGAGTTTCATGCCCAAAAAACCGGGGATTATATCTTGCAGGTGCTTTGGGCACCATTCATCAATTGAAGTCCCGCATCTGTTGAAGCCGTCCCATCCTCTAAAATTAGACCCAAGCATTAGAGCTTACCCACTTCTCGGACATTTTTGAGGCTGAAATACAAACGGACTTTTAACAGACATATATTCATAGGCATATATTTGTCTCTATGTGCATATCTGTATAATGGGTTATTTTCAAATATATCAGGAAATGTTGAGGCTACATTTTCCTGATATATTTGAAAATAACCCATTTGTTATAGTAACCAATATAATATGTAATCATAATAACAAACCAAATTTGTTATGTTCATAAAATGAAATAACCAAATAACTAAAGAATAAGCTCCAGAAGAGAACTTCATGTTTCTGTGGATATTTGAACTTGGATCTCGCTAATCTTTTATATGTCAAATGAATCATAATCAAGATTAGAAATTAATTTAGCATTTTGGCATGTTTGCTTTTTCATTGTAATGCATGTTTTTTTTTCCTTCTTGCTGTTTTCACATTTTCTGCAGGCATTTTACAAATCTTTTATGTCAATCTAACCTTTTAAACTACCCTTTTATGTCAATCTTGTAGACCGAAAAGATGCTAGGAAGAGAATTCCGGAACAAGTGAGAATCCCAAGCAGCATTAAAAAGAAAGCAAATCCAGCCAGCAATGAAAGTGTTTTCCGCCTCTGCTAGAAAACTACAAAAGTTTTCTCCTTCTGCAGGCAGGTGACGGACAAAAGAGAGAATTTGAAAAGAGTTTTGAGTTGGAAAAAATGTAATATGTAGAAGTCAAGCAAATACTCCAAAAATGGTCAAGGGAGATTATTTTCAAAATCAGAAAAAGGTGAAGTAATCTGGAAATCAGTGTAGGGAGAAGTGGTTACTTGATAGTCACACTAGATAGACAGGCAGTCAAGCTTTACCCTATGAAGCAAGTAGCTTGACTGAAAGCACCATCTTGAGAATCCAAAAATATACTTGGAAAAACCCCACAATGTGCATATTGTAGGGAAAAACACAGATTGCGGAGCACAGCTGATTATGTATGAGAGGACACACACTGAAGAAAAGCCCACCCACACCCCTCAATGTGGCAAATAGCTTTAGGAAATGTGATACACCAGAGGACTCACATGGGGGAGAAACCATATGAGTGTCTAGATTGTGGGAAAACTTTCAGTCGGAATTCTCACCTGGTGATACACCAGAGGACTCACACAGGGGAGAAACCATATGAGTGTCCGGATTGTGGAAAAGGTTTCAGTCGGAATTCCAATCTGACGATACATCAGAGGATTCACACAGGAGAGAAACCATATGCGTGTTCAGACTGTGGCAAAAGTTTCAGTCAGAATTCCAACCTGGTGATACACCAGAGGATGCACACAGGACAGAAACCGTATGAGTGTCCAGATTGTGGGAAAGGTTTCTGTCAGAATTCTGACTTGGTAATACATCAGAGGACACACACAGGAGAAAGACCATATGAATGTCCAGATTGTGGAAAAAGTTTCATTCAGAATTCTGACCTAGTGATACATAAGAGGACTCACACGGGGGAGAAACCGTATGAGTGTCCTGAGTGTGGGAAAGGTTTTAGTCGGAATTATGCACTGGTATTACATCAGAGGATTCATACTGGGGAGAAACCATATGAGTGTCCAGGTTGTGGGAAATCTTTCAGTCGGAATTCTGATCTCGTGACACACCAAAGAACTCATACTGGGGAGAAACCTTATGATTGTCTGGATTGTGGAAAAAGTTTCAGTAGGAATTCCCACCTTGTGCTACACCAGAGGAGTCACACAGGAGAGAAACCATATGAGTGTCTGGATTGTGGAAAAAGTTTCAGTCGGAATTCTGGCCTGGTGATACACCAGAGAACTCACACTGGGGAGAAACCTTATGAGTGTCCGGATTGTGGGAAAACTTTCAACCGTAGTTCCCATCTGGTGATACACCAGAGGACTCACACAGGAGAAAAACCATTCGAGTGTCCCGAATGTGGGAAAACTTTCAGTCGGAATTCTGAGGTCGTGATACATCAGAGGACTCACACAGGGGAGAAACCGTATGAGTGTCCGGATTGTGGGAAATGTTTCAGTCAGAATTCCCATCTGGTAGTGCACCATAGGACTCACACAGGAGAAAAACCATATGAATGTCCGGAATGTGGGAAAGGTTTCAGTACTAGATCTAAACTTATAAATCATTTAGGTTTACATACAGGGGAGAAACCTTTCAGATGCCCAGAGTGTGGACGGTGTTTCACACATTATTCATCCCTAAAGGCACACACGAAAATCCACATGAGGCAGACATTGATGAGTGTAGAAAAACCCTGATTTTCATTTCTGATTTCCCATTGGGAATGCAAATCAACAATTTAATTTTTGGCCTTATTCTCTTTAGTGAATCATGTCTCAGTATTGGACATAAGGGAGGAGAGAAAAATGGAAAATTTTACTTTCGTGAAGGCTAACTACCTGTATCTGACTATCAGCAGAGTGTAGTGGATAATCAGTTTTGCAGAAACAGTGCAATTGCCACACAAAAGCGTCTGTGTTGGTTTTTTGTTTTGCATATTGATCATCATAGATCATAGAAATGCCCCAGGCAGAATTTGAGTTTTCTATCTGGATGTCTTCCAGATTTCAGCCCCAGAGTTTTCTAGCCAGTAGAGACTTTGCAGAATGGTATGGAATGATAGTCAAGATTGCTATGAGGCCCTAGTAATCTACATATCATAAATAATGTACTACTCTATAACATAATAAGAGCACCCAGATTTATTTAGAGTTTGTGGATTGTAAAGATGAAGAAAATGAAAGGAGACGTAGAGAGTATTCGGGATTCATCTTTTCCTAACACCTCCAAAAATCAGTTCAGCTTTAATCCCTGTTCAGATTTGCTCTAAAATTGGGGCTCTGATTTTTCAAAAATTCCCTACTAGTAAAGAGAGAAAAAGTACTTGGAGTAAGCATTTAGCTATGCAGTTGAATGATCCTGATGTTGCTGAATTTAGAAGACACCAAAGAATTCAAGATTGTTTCTTTTCATGTCTTCTTTTTGTGGATAAAAAACGTTCCGCCTGTCGTGTTGGATGCTAGAAAACAGTGGTGATCTCCAATTTATGACTGAAGAGCCAGCATTGTCCAAAGACACTTCTATTATCATGTGGCTGGCAAAACTATATGCCGAAAGCGCACAGAAAATTCTTCCCTTCCCACTGAAGTGGTATCTATTTATCTACTTGCATTTACATCTAACTGCTAGGTTGGCAGGACTGGTGCAAGTAAAAGGAGCTCACTCACTTGGTACTTAGGTCTTGAATTGCCGACCTTCCAGTTGGCAAGCCCAGCGTTTTAATCTTTCGGCCACCACACTCCTCCCCCTTTTGTGAATGCACAGAAACAACAGCACATGTTTCTCCAGTGGTTTTTTTACAGGTTTGTACCAGGCTTATCTTGCCATTACTGCATAAATATTCAGGATTCACAAGACATTTCTACGCCTCCCTGCTGCTTTCAAATATTAATCTTGGTGCAACATGTAATGCTTCCAAGGTCCTGTGGAGCAGTACTTATAATTCGTCAGATGATGGATGATCTGTGGTACAAACTAGTTTTTTTTTTTTATAAATTTTTTATTGGTTTTTAAAACAAACATAGACAAACCATAAAAACATCAAGCCATCTTCCATATATATACATACAGTGTGCCGGTTGGTTTACAAATTGTTTTGTGCTTCCATTTCGTAGTCTACAATTACATTGTATATATTCTCATATTTCAGTCAAGTATTAAATACATTAATATTATTAATCAGTCATTTGACTATAACTTTTATTCATTCATGTTTTATGAAATAATCATATCTTACTTAATTTGTTATTATGACAGTTCATATTATCATCTCAAATCTATCCTAAAATCATTTTGTAGATATAATAAGAAAAGAATACATCTTTATATATTTATTATTTTCTAAGAATCTACACATTTCATTACTATATTTTATTGTCTAACCATTGATAGAATAAATCCCAAATTTTATAAAATTGTTTATCATCTTGTTCTCTGATTTCAAATGTCAATCTACTCATTTCAGCACATTCCAATATTTTAATGATTTCCTCCTGTGATGGTATTTTCTCATTTTTCCAGTTTTTAGCAGATACAATCCTAGCTGCTGTTAATACATTTACAATCAAGTATTTCAGTTTTTCACTATATATTTCAGGTAAAATTCCCAATAAAAATATATCTGGTTTCAAATCTATATGCTTTTTTGTCATTTTTTCCAACCACGTGTGGATTTTAGTCCAATATTTTTTAGCATCCGCACATGTCCACCACATATGGTAATATGAGCCAGGTGTCTGATGACAGTTCCAACATTTTCCAGATTTATTCTTGAACGTTCTTGCTATTCTTGTCAGGGGAAAATGCCACCTGTAAAACATCTTATACAAATTTTCTTCATATGCTGTTGACATTGTCATTTTATAATTTTGAGACCACAATTTTTGCCATTTCTCTAGATCCCATATCCAAAATTCTTCCCCCAAGCAATAATTGTTTCTTTAACTTCTTGTTCTTCTAGTTTAGTTTCTAATAAGTATCCATACAATTTTTATATCACCTTTTCATCAGTACCTGTCAAAATCTTATCTAAATCAGTCAGTTTATCATAAAAGTTTTAGAGTCTTTATCATGCCTTGAATGTATTTGCGCATATGAAAACCAATTCATCTTTATACCTTGTTCCTCTAATTTTTGTATAGATTTAAGTTCACCCTTTTCATTCAATATTTCACCATATCTAACTGTTTGTTCCTTTTTATATATTATAGGATAAGAAACTGCTTCAATAGTCGATAGCCAGACTGGAATTTTCAAATAACATTGTCTTTTAGTCTTCTCCCAGTTTAACCACAGAGACTCCCGTATATAATGTCTTCTAAAATACCCCTGTGTTTTAGTTCCTTTATACCATAGAAAAGCATGCCACCCCAACAACAGATCATGTCCTTCTAATGTCAACAATCTAGTATTTCTTAATGTTATCCATTCCTTAAGCCACATCAAATTTGTGGCTTGATAATACAACACCCAATTAGGCAAACCAAATCCTCCTCTTATTCTAGCATCTTGCAAAAGTTTTAATTTTATTCTCGCTTTCTTACCTTGCCATATATATTTCAAGACAAATTTATTTAAATATTCAAAGTAGTATTTTCCAAGCCCAATTGGAATTGTTTGGAACAAATATAAAATTCTGGGTAATATATTCATCTTGATTGTTGATATTCTCCCTATTAATGACAGTTGTAAATTTTCCCATTTCGCTAAATCTAGCGCTATCTGCTGCTTAAGTTTGATATAATTATTCTCTTTTAGAGTACTGCATCTTGCTGTCAGATGTATCCCCAAGTACTTGATCTTATTCGTGACCTGAATTTTTAATAGATCTGCCAGTTCTTCCTTTTGTCTTGATAGCATACTCTTTGTCAAAATCTTTGTCTTATCTTTATTTATTTTCAAACCAACCACCTTTCCATATGTCTCTATCTTTTCTATCAATTTCTAGTGGGTCTTCTAAAATGAAAACCAGATCATCTGCAAATGCTTGCAACTTAAATTCTTCCTTTTTAATTTTCAACCCTTTTATATTCTTTTCTTCTCTAATATTTCTGTTTAGCACTTCCAAGGTTAACACAAACAACAGAGGTGATAGTGGGCACCCTTGTCTTGTTCCTTTTCTTATATCAATAGCGTCTGTCAGTTCTCCTTCTATCATTACCTTTGCCGTTTGCTTATGATATACAGCTTCTATTGCTTGAATAAATTTTTTAGCAAAGCCCATCTGTTCCAGCTGTATTAACATGAATCGCCAATTCACATTATCAAAGGCCTGTGCATCTAGAAATATCAAAGCCATTTGTTTTTCAGGATGTGCCTTGTAGTATCCCAAAGTGTCCAAGATTACTCTCATATTGTCTTTAATTTGTCTCTTTGGCAGAAATCCATTTTGATCAGGATGGATAAAATTGTTTAAGTATTTTTTAAGTCTTTCTGCCAATATTGAAGCAAAAAATTTATAATCTGCATTTAGTAAGGAGATAGGTCTATAGTTCTTGATTTGTAATGGATCAGCCTCCTCTTTTTGGACAAGTATAAGCTTCTGACCATGATTTAGGTATCCTCTTCTTTAACATAACTTCATTCATAACTTCTAGCAATGGAAGGTTCAGCGATTCTTGTAGTGTTTGATGAAATTCTGCCGGATTTCAGAATTTCATCTGGGCCTGGTGCCTTTCCATTATTTTGCTTCTTGAGTGCTTCAGTTAACTCCATCATCGTTATATTGCTTTCTAACATTGTTTCAATGTCTTTAAGTATCTGGGGTAAATTAGCATTCTATAAATACTGTTTAACTCTTTCCTCATCAATATTCCCTTGTGTGTATAGTTTCCCATAATAGTCTCGTATGATTTCCTTCTTCTCTTTACTACCATAGCAAACTTGGCCTTGGTCATCTATTAATTGCAATATTTTCCTTGATTCTTTCTCCTTTCTCAATTTATATGCTAACCATGTACCTGGCTTATTTGCATCTTCAAAGTAGTTCTGTTTAGCACCTCTAATTTTCTGTGCTAGTTCTTTTTTCTATTAAACCCATTTTATGTTTAATTATATCCATTTTTAACTTAATGTCCTTTTTCTGTGGCATTTTCTGTAGCTCTTTTTCAAGTCCTTTATACTCATTATCTGATACCTTAGAGGCTAGTATTTTCATGATATTTCTTTTCCTTGTGTAGTCTATTATTAAGCCTCTGACATATGCCTTCATTGTATCCCATACGTTCTGGATTGATGTATCTTCTTTTTTGTTTTCTCTAAAGAAAAAAGCCAGTTCTTTCTCCATCCACTGTATAAAGTATTTTTTCTTTAATATAGTATTATTTAACGTCCATCTAGATCTTCTTCTTTGTCCTTTCCATTTAATTGTCATTGGATTGTGATCTGCCCAAGTACTTGTTTCAATATTTATTTCTTGAATATTAGTTAATGATTCTGTTGACATCCATATCATATCTATTCTGGATCATGATGAATGTCTGTTTGAATAGAAGGTATATTGTTTGGTCTTAGCATTTCTTTCTCTCCATGCATCTTTTAAATTTATTTCATCTACCATTTTAAAAAAGGATTTAAGGAGAGTCTTTCTGTTTTGCTTTATTGTTTTCTGTGCTGTATCGTACCGGTTTATTGTCTACAATTTCATTAAAATCTCCCATCATAGCTATATTAGCATAGTCCAGTTCAGTTATTTTCATATGTAATTTTTTATAAAATTCTTCTTGATTGTCATTCAGGGCATAAATTGCAATCAGGAGTGTTTTCATATTATTGTCCATTATTTCCACCATTAGTATTCTTCCATCATCATCAGTATAAATCAATTTTGCTGGCATAATATCTTTAATGTATAAAACCACTCCTCTTTTCTTGCATTGTGTCAAAGAAGTAAATATTTTCCCTAATTTTGGCTGTATCAACAATTGTTCATATTGCTTTTTGATATGTACTTCTTGTAGGCAGATTATATCAAATTTTAATTTATCTAATTTATGGAAGGTTTTCCTTCTTTTAGCAGCTGAGTTAAGTCCATTAATATTAATTGTAATCAGTTTTTTCTCTTCCATGGTTATATTTTGTAGTTACGTTTGGCAGCTCTCATAGATCTTGGTTCACGTTCTTTGGCTTCCACCTTTCCACCTACTGCACCTTCTTCTTTTTCAGTCGTCATTTGGCAGTCCTCTTGGAATTCAATTAGTGAAATTTCTTTTTCTGCCTCTTCCTCTTTCCCTCCAAAGTATTCTGTGTAAAATGATTCAGCTTTCTCAACTGAGTCAATTCTGTGTTCCTGCCATGTGAACATTAAACCTTGTGGAATCAACCATCTATAATTCACCTCTTTTTAAGTAGCATTTTGGTCAGGAATCGGTATTCTCTTCTCTTCTCATCTCTCTCACTCTTCTGGGTACTTGTTTCAAGACCACAATCTCCTTGTCTTTATATTTCAATGTTTTTTCTCTTGCCACTTGCAATATTTGCGTTTAATGGCTTTCTTTGTAAATCTGATGTGAACTTCTCTTGGTAAGCTCTTTCTCATTGCATATGTTGTGAAAACTCAATAAACCTCATTTATTCCATCCATCATCTTCTCTTCAGTTATTTCC